TAGTTGGTTATCACGTCAGTCTAACACACTGAAGGTCTCCGGTTCAAGTCCGGGCGAAATCATCCTTTGGGCGAATGGTTTAGTGGTATAATACTCGCTTAGCATGTGAGTGGTCCAGGGTTCGATTCCCTGTTCGTCCAAATCTTTTGCTTCTGAGTGAAAAGGAGGCTTCTTTAAGCTGTGTTCTCCTTTTTGACACTTGGGAGAAGTCTTTAAACGGTTGAATCGCTGCGGTGTAGCATTTTTTGCCCAGGTGGACCTACTGCAGTATCCCCGAAAACGCCGGTCAGCAGGCCCCACTCCTGTCCGGCCTCTCCTAACCCTCATCAGCGTTCGCGGGGGGAGGTTGTTTCCTTCTCTCTTCCTTCTGGAACGATGTCAACGGATTTCCGTATGGACTTTGAGATCTTATTTTGCAGATTTATATAACAATTCCGCCACCAAAGACGTTGAATACCGAAACCCTTGCCATCATGCTATGCGATGTATGGGAACCAGCCGACGTCTGGACTGGCATCTCCGACCAGAACCGGAGGAAGAAGCTGCAAAACAAGCTCAACCAGCGTGCTTACCGTCAGTGAATTCCAAAGCATGTTTATCTTCACAGTCCTTACTCCAAAGCAGGTAGAAGAAGGAAACAACCCACTGTAGACCGCGATGGCCAGCACCCGTCGCTGGCAGCTCCGGGCGAAGACAGCATCCTACCAACCCTAATCGGAGGGTGTGCTCTTATCAGATGTCCCCAGAGGCTTTATATAGCCCAAAACCGCGTCAAAGAAGTATACGAGGGCTACTCGCTCCACGCGCCGCGGCCGTCGGCACTGCACGTCCTCATCCGCCTGCGCGTCCTCGCAGCCCTAGCCCACAACGCCGCCGCCATAGGGTTTCCCCCACAAGGCCTCTGCCGCGATGACTTCGTTTCTCCATATAACCTGAGCGGACCTCTGGAGCTAGAGAACCTTGATTTGACGACGCCCGGCCGCGAGAGCCTTCGTCCGACGAACCTGCAGAGGAGAGTCCTCCATCACCCCTGGATCGACCTCTTCCCCTTCCCCGTCTTCCGAGACAACGTGCTGCTTGCGATGGAGTCTGGCTTGGTGGACGACGATCAGCTTTGTGCTGACATCCTCGAGGTGAAGGATGAGGACTTGGCTGGCAGGCCGTCTCTCATCGTCTGGGGTCAGTCGTGGAATTGTATGGCGTGGGAAGCCAATGAGGCCTTCTTTCGGAAATGGGGGTTCTTGACGCGGGGGTGCCCTGAGATGCTGGAGGCGACTAATTACTGGAGATCTAGACGAGGGGAAAGAAGGATCATTTATGAAGTATGACGTATAAGTTTTCATAGGCCGAAGGTGAATATCCCGAGCGAGTGAATAATGCAACCGCAAATGCAGTCTTTGATATCCTTAACTTATTCAAGGCCGAGTCGTAGTAACAAGCCAGCCAAGCTGCGGCGAGTAAGTTTCATGACCTCTCAAGGTTCTCGTAGGACATACCTCGTTATACAGACAGGACACCCATGTCCCGGGATGTCAGCAACCTTCCTTATCTCCAGATGCGGGGCCGGGGGCGGCGGGACGGCGCTAATGCACTTGGATTATTTTGTGGACCAGACCCGGAGCTGGTCCCGGGCATCGATCAGTGCTCACGGCGTCTGGGTGGAATGTCTAGATGCCGTCATGTTTCGTACCGAGACCGAGTCAACGACCACGGACACGGAGACCGGAAAGAAGACTTTCTCAGCCACGTATAAATATGTAGTACTGGAGGGACTCATCTATCCTCGAGCTTCGTCTTCCACGCAGCCACTCAAAGCACTCTCGCCGTCTTTCTAAAAAACCTCAAGACTACACACGATATCTCACAATGGCGGAACCATCAATGAAATACGTCCGGTAAGTGTTCCCACGACCCTCTTCACCGTGAGAAAATCACTAATAGGTCGCCTCCGTTCAGTGTGGGCAAGTCCGGCCTCAAGGTCTCCCAGATCATCCTCGGCTGCATGAGCTTCGGCGACAAGAACTGGCAACCATGGCTCCTCGACCAGGCTGAGGCCGTCCCCATCCTCAAGTACGCCTTCGACCGGGGCATCAACACCTGGGACGTCGCCGACACCTACTCGAATGGCCGCTCCGAGGAGATCGTCGGCGCCGCCATCCGGGAGTACAACATCCCGCGCTCGAAGCTCGTCGTCATGTCCAAGTGCTTCCAGTTCGTCGACGACGAGCGGGGCCCCATCGACCCGGCAAACCTGACCAGCAACGACGGCCCGCGCGTCAACCAGGTCGGGCTGTCGCGGAAGCACATCCTCGACGCCGTGGACCGCAGCGTCGAGAGACTGGGGACGTACATCGACGTGCTGCAGATTCATCGCATGGATCGGGATGTGCCGCCGGAGGAGATCATGAAGGCGCTGAATGACGTTGTGGAGAGCGGGAAAGTGCGGTATATTGGTGCTAGTTCGGTCAGTCTTCACATCTTTACCTACCTGGACAATCTCACACTACCCGTCATGATAGTCGCTGACTAGCAGATGCACAGATGGCAGCCTGGGAGTTCCAGATGCTCCAGAACGTCGCGAAGCAGAACGGCTGGCACCAGTTCATCTCGATGCAGGGTCTCTACAACCTCCTCTACCGCGAGGAGGAGCGCGAGGTGAACCCGTACTGCAACGCCGCCAACGTCGGCCTCTTCCCGTGGTCGCCCCTCGCTGCCGGCGTCCTCGCGCACCCGTGGACCGACCGCTCCGACCCCCGGGAGCAGAAGGACCCGTTCCTCCAAATGCTCTTCCGCGGCGTCGAGAATGGCGCCGACAAGGCGATTGTCGGGCGGGTGGAGGAGCTCGCGGCCAGGAAGGGGGTCGCGATGGCCCAGGTCGCGCAGGCGTGGCTGATTTCGAAGGGGTGCATGCCGATTTGCGGGCTGGAGACGCGGGAGAGGATTGACCAGGCGCTTGGGGCTTTGGAGGTGAAGTTGAGCGAGGAGGAGGTGCAGTATCTTGAGGAGATGTATGTTCCGAAATTGCCTATGCCGTTTTAGAAGCGGATGAGGTCTGGCGCGGTAGGCTGTGGCTTGGGATAAGCACTGGCTTGGCTAGATCTGATCGATTATTGTTCTTTGGACGAGATCGACTTGGCACTTGAAGAATAGACCAAATAAACACAAGAGCGAAATTTCACAGTCGCCACAAAGACAGGAGGGCCAGGTCCCGTCAGCCCATGTGTCTTGGGAACGCGTATGTTCATGCTTGAAGATGAGGGGTCACTCATTACCGAATGCACGATCAACTGAAAAAAGAAACAACCTTCCCAGCTACCAGAAAGATCATTTGGCGCTACGTCTAGCGCGGCCAAGGAAGTGACACACTTCTCCAAATGCAGCCGACCATTCGCCCGCTTAGATACGATCCCGTCCCAAAGCATTGAGTCGATGACAGTCTGGAACCCAGGCTACGGTTGGACCAACAGCAGCTCCTCGGCTGCAAATGGCTGATGGGAAGATGGCATTCTGACGCCATGGCTTCGACCAGTAGCCCGTATGCTTACTGGAGATGTTAGGTGACAGCCATCGTTGCGGTTGCATTTCAGCCGCACGATGCCATCGCGACCCTCATAAACTGACGCGAAGCTCGACCTTTTATCGTCGATTACACTGGGTTGGGACCTTGAGAGACTTTCAGAGCCTGTGACAGCCGAGACGAGCCATTTCACAACGATGGAGAGTTTGAGTGCGCAGGGCGGGGCTAATGACCGGGTCGCACCGGCGCAGATATCGGCGGATCGGAACGGCGATGCGCCGTCTGAGTACCCGGCGGGACGAGACGACGTGCCACGAACGAGCATAGCGTCTTTCACGGAGCAGGACGAGGTGGAATCTACGCATGTGCCGAGCACCTCGGCGTCGTCTGTCGAGCTGAGCATTGACTCGGACATGAGCGACGCCGACTCGGCTCTGGGGATTGACGGGGGGCGGGCTTCGTCGTCTGCGTCGGTCGCTTCGAGTCTTTACAGGTTCGTCGAGGAGTTTGGTCGGACGTATCATAGGTACAAGGAAGGGAGTAAGTTGTTCATTCTTGTCGATGTGAGAATGCCGCTGACGTTGAGAAGAGTACTTCCTCCCCAACGACGAGGTATGACGAGTCTTGGTTTAGAGGATGTATTTCACGCCGACTTCTGACATGCGACATGCTGCAGCAAGAGCAAGGCCGCTTAGACCTGCAACACGCCATTGCACTCCGCATTCTCGACGGGAACCTCGGGCTGGCGCCCGTGGATAAGCCGCACCGGGTGCTCGATATCGGCACGGGGACGGGCATCTGGGCTATCGAGTTCGCCGATCAGAACCCCGAGTCGGAGGTGCTCGGGAGCGACCTGAGCCCCATCCAGCCCGAGTACGTGCCCGCGAACTGCCGCTTCGAGATCGACGACGCCGAGGACGAGTGGATGTACGGGCAAAAGTTCGACTACGTCCACGGCCGGTACATGTGCACCTCCATCTTTGACTTCCCCAAGCTGTTTGGCCAGATCTACGCCAGCCTCAACCCGGGCGGCTGGGTCGAGTTTCAGGAGACGGTGATCGACTTCCGGGCCGTCGACGGGACTCTGGAGGGCACGGCGCTGCGGCGGTGGAACGACCATTTGCTGGAAGGTATCCGCCGGGCGGGGCGCGATGCCTTGTCTCCGTTCGGGTTCGCGGCGAAGATGACTGCCGCGGGGTTCACGAACGTCCAGCAGAGGAAGTTCGCGGTGCCGTCTACCCCGTGGGCTCGGGGGCGGAACCAGAAGATTCTCGGCGCGATGCAGATGACCAACAATCTCGAGGGCGTTCAGGGCATCACGATGAAGATCTTTACGCAGGTGCTGGGTTGGACTCGAGAGGAAGCTGAACTGCTGCTGGTTGACGTTCGCAGGGATATGGCGGATAGGAACATCCACGCATATCTCACGATGTGAGTTTTTCTTTCTGATAACGTTGCGGTAATGAGCTGACCATTTGAAGTATGGCTGTCTGGGGCCAAAAGCCGCACGAAGGGGAAGAGAATGGCGGGATGTCGTGATTTGAGTAGCCCGGAAGAATGTTTTAATCATTGTGTACATCCAGCATGGAGTTTGAAGTTACGCTTTCGTCGCATCTTGTTGGTGTTGAACTCCGCCAATTGCGCAGTTCACCTTGTTCGTTCTCGGGTCACGATCCACGTTGTGATAGCTGTCATCCCAAGAATATCTAGATGAAATGTATGCACGACACGAATGATGTCCAATTCAATGCAAGAAAAGCGCAGGAACGCTGAGAGTGAGCAAGTGACATGATCCCGCAATAACGGCAACATTGCACCGCGCAATGCATGCGAACCGCGGCACGACCCGGTGCGGCTTGTAACCGCTCCCTCTGCTTAGAAAAAAGCAAAAAGATGCCGAGGCCGTTGTGCTAAAGATCCACACCTGATGGCGGCCTTGAAACCGATAATGATGGTCTCCCCGTGCCAAGTGTGCCGATGGAGCGGCGAATGCGTGCCGGGAGCGGCATCAAATCCGCGGGGGAACGGAACACGGGCTCCTTTTCGAAGAATTTCTAGGCCACAGATCGTCGGCGTTATGACGAGCCGCCCCATCGGCTTTAACCCTCGTGTTCCTCTCCCAGTTCCCTCTTCTGGACTCCCCCTCCGAGGTCCCCCACTCGCTCTCGCCGGTCCATCCACTCGGCGTCCTCCTCCCACCCCCAGGTCCCTGGCCTTCCGGATGGCAGATTGCTGGTTACGGCAAGGCCATGGCAGGGCATGGAAGCAGCCGGAGAGTTTAATCGTCCGCATGCTTTGTAAAACGGGGTGTGGAGTTCGCCCTGGCAACCCGCTGTGGCATTGATGACTGAAGAAATTTTGCAAACCCGCGCTTGTGTTGTTTCTGGAATCGGTGGAGACTTACTGGTTGATGAGCGAGTCAATCATGCTCCATGACCCGACACATGTCACTGTCTCTGCCCATCTGGACCACGGAGAGATGCCAAGCGGGAAAAGGAAAACACATCGGTGTGACGTCAAGCTGACCAATTGCATGGCGGGGTGAAGCTCTCTTCCATGCCATGCCACTCTTACCAACACCTTAGAAGCTCCCCTGACGTTGGTGGGGTAAGCTGGTGAGCGCGGAATTCTACCGTGATGGCCAGACCACCATTCGAAACTGGATCGATGATTACGGGGGCGGGGGAATGCGAGTACAAAAGAGCTTGACACCCCGCGATGGAGGATGTCTAGCTATTCTAATAATCCAGCAATATCTACTCTCTTACGCTTTGATACCCATCGATACCCCTATACACTCAATTCCTTTATTTCAATCCTTTCAAACAAACCACAATAACCGTCAAAATGGTCGCTAAGAAGGTCCTCGTCGTTCTCACCTCTTGCGACAAGATCCCCAAGACTGGCAAGCCCATCGGCTGGTACCTGGTAAGCTCAATCCCAACATCATCACCGTCTACGCCGCGAACCCAACTGACTTTGCCACTTCCAGCCTGAGCTCGCCCACCCCTACGATGTCCTCAAGGAGGCCGGCGTCGAAATGACCTTCGCCTCCCCCAAGGGCGGCGTCGCGCCCCTCGACCAGGTCTCCGTCCAGATGTTCGGCGAAGACCCCTCCTCCAAGAACTTCCTCGAGAACCACAAGGAGATCTGGGAGAACACCAGGCCGCTGTCCGAGTTCGTCGGCAAGGCCTCCGAGTTCGACGCCATCTTCTACCCGGGCGGCCACGGCCCCATGTTCGACCTCGCCTTCGACGACGAGTCGCTCAAGCTCATCGCCGACTTCGCCGCCCAGAACAAGCCCGTCGCCGCCGTCTGCCACGGCCCCGGCGCCATCGTCAACGCCAAGACCCACGACGGCGAGTACCTGATCAAGGGCAAGAACGTCACCGGCTTCTCCAACACCGAGGAGGACCAGGCCGGTTTTACCCCCGAGATGAACTTTTTGCTTGAGGACCGCATGAAGGAGGTCGGCGGACAGTACGCCATCGCCGACGCGCCCTGGGGCGAGAAGGTTATCACTGATGGCGTTGTCATCACCGGCCAGAACCCCGCTTCTGCCCACGGTGTCGGCAAGGCCATTGTCAAGGCTCTTGGTCTGTAAGGGATGATTGTATGATATGATGACGACAAAAAGGTTACGAAGGATACAAAGTAATACCAAATTCAAAGCGATTCTGATCATTACTTGGTGCCTGGTGAAGGGGCTGTTCTGAAATACGTGACTACTGTGATACCATCTGAAGGCACACTCGTGCGATACATGTGTCGGGGGTTTCGCTCATCTCACTCCAATTCCTGAATTTCGATCTCCCCAAAGTCAATGTTCCGCCGTGGAATGGTCCACTGGTCCATATTAGTGGTCATCGACACGCCGTCCGCATACATGTCCATCGCCTCCTCCGCATCCAACACCTCAAAGGCCATCCGCTGGGTATTTCCCATGTAATTAGTGTCCACGACACGAAAATCGAGAAAGACAACTTCGCCAACTTGTTGATTCAGACCTATGCGCTCAATGTACCGCTTCGAGATGCTCGGCCTCGAGCTGTGCATCTCAGCAGTGACATGCACTGAGCCCCTGGTGCCGTGCATGGAGACGGTCCCATTCGGCATGAAGATCTGCAACTGAACGCGGTTCTTGCAGACGGACTCGCTCCAGTGGAAGAGAAAGCAGTCGAGGATGTAGTACTTGTGGTAGCCGAGGTCTCTTGGGTCGTGGCCTGCGCCTCTGAATTGCGCCACGATGTCGTCCCAGTTGCGGAGGGGGATGCGGTTCCTGACACACATGAGAGCGAACTCTTCCAGCTGTTCCTTGTAGTCGAATAGGCGGGGGCCACGGCCGCCACGACGGATCGGATACTGTACATCGCGAGACGACCTGGGCGTTCTGTTGTGGAACTGGCAGTAGAATCGGAGATACTCGTCGATGATCTGTCCCCTGTGGCGGTCGAAGAACTCGGGGTATGTGAAGTTGCCGAGCTCTGGGATGGCGTCTTTCCAGCTGCGAGGCATGGGGCGAATCTCTGCTTGCATGACGGCCTCGCATATGCCACGCGAGATCCGGGACATGATGTAAGCGGTTCGCTCGCGACTTTCGAGGGGTGGGCTGGAGAAAGGCATGTTGAGTTAAGGGTGGTCTGGGACAGGCGGCTGTAACAATGATTGTCGATAACAAGACGTCTCTCGAGGGAGTACTGTCTACTGCTCCTATCATGAACACAAGAGCGGTTTCGTCGAGGAGTCTTAAATAGAATATTTGTTGTGGTGATTCACCGAGGAAGATGCTGAATGCTCTGAGGGCTTCCACATATTCACCGTAGAGAAATCTCAACTTGAGATGAGCTGGCCTATTCACCAAACGGAAGATAGCCCAGGTAATGGTCTGCAGTCGTCGCATATCGTGGCTTGATCGGTTTCTCAAACCCATTTACATGTCTAAGCTCTCTAGCGTTTCAACTGCAATCAAACTCTTTTGGATTCAAGCCAATAATTGTCACAATTAGAAGCTCTTGACCACTCATTCACGGCAACCATGACGCAGGCTACTTTGTTATCTCATCAACCATCACTCAGCTCGATTAAAGTCTTGTTCGTGATATTTATCGAGAATGATGCTCTGGATTACTCGACTCTAAAGTGCCTGAATCTGACCCAACCGCCCTCCCTTTTGTCCTTTACATCGTCTAAGGATGCGTAGATACCGTACAAGGTGCCAGTCATATCATACCCTGAAAGAAGCACTGGATCTCCCTTTCCTAGACTATGCCATCCGCTTTCTCCATCACCTGTGATGAAGCGACATAGAAACTCGTAACTGTCGGGCAAGGTCTGAATGCGGAGGTCGACGGCTGCCGCGCCATTAGGAATCGCAGTCGATCCCAACTGGATGCTCTCGGACTTCTTGTCCTTGATCACGTTCAAGAACGCGGTAGTCGTGGAATTGGGGCCATCGATCTGAATACATCCGTGACGCAAGCTGTCCTTGTAGATGGCCAAGCCAGCCAATGGGAGCTCTTGAAGCTTACCAGAGCCCAGTTCCACGGTCGTGGAGGCGGAACCAGAGAGGGATCTCTGCCTTCGACCGACAAATGTGGACGTTCCGAGGGGTTCTGTCAGAGTCGACGTCTGAGCGCATAGGGAGTAAGTATCTTCTGTGGCGGAGTAGGAATAGTGATCGACGTTGGGAGTGCGGATGTAAAGATCCTCGAGCTGTTCATTCATGATTTTGTACCCATGACCTTGCGCCTCACCAGACTCTCCTTCTGAACCAACCACCATCTCAAGCTTAGTCTGTGCTATACGAGGCCAGTCCCCAGAGGGCCATTCAACTGGTGTAAGGAAAGTCTCGCGACCTAGGGGATGCCGCTGAACGTTGGTGTGGTCGTGTCGTATGCCCAGATGGACACAGAACCACCTTCCCTCCAGGTCTTGGAAGAGGTCACCATGACCAGCCCAGCGGACATCCTCATCCTTCTCAAAAGCAGTCAATAACGGGTTGTTTGGACAGCTCTCATAAGGCCCCCATATGTCTTTAGATTTTGCGATGTTGATTTGGTGGCCCTCGAATGTGGACGCTTCAGCAGTTAAAAGGTAGTACCAGCCATCTTTGAAGTAAACATGGGGCCCCTCAGCGTCATCCTTTCCGGCTGCACCCCTCCATAGGAACTTGCACTCTGACAAGGCTTCACCAGTGTCAACATCAATCTCGAACTGGCGGATAGAGCAGTCTGGGGCCCAAGGAGGCCCGGTCCGATAGGAGCCGTGCAGATATGCCTTGCCTGATGCCTCATCAAAGAAAAGACTGGGGTCAATCCCAGGGAACTCGAAAGGTACAGCGTCTGACCACCCGTCGTCGGAAAATATGGCGTCTTCATGACAGCTGAGCAGGAAGTTCTGAAACTCGTGCGATCCGTCGGGCTTTTCAAAGGCATATGTGCAAACGAGGTAGAAACTGTCTTTGAAGTGTCGAAGAGTTGGCGCAAACAGACCACCAGTGATGATCAGAGGGATGCCGTGAGGAAGCGGAATAAACTTTGTGAAGGCGTTGGAAAGTGATAGCTGAGATGGGCGGGACAACGCGTGTCCCTTGAGCTCCCAGTTGACGAGGTCCCGAGACGAGTAGATGGGAAGTCCAGGGAACACGTGAAAAGAAGAGTTGATTAGAAGGTAGGTGTCTCTGAAGACAGTTATGGTGGGGTCCGGGGCAAACCCGGGGATGATGGGGTTCGTAATCTTCATAGTGGGAGAACTTGGCGCGCTAGGGTATGTCAAGCCAACAACCTTAAAGACTATCGTGGCTCGGACGATAAATAGTATTATATCTGAAGATGATTGGGCGGATGACTTTCATAACTCGGAAAGTCCGAGTGGGATATGTCACGCTTTGGGCCGATGTCCACCTTCATTGTTGACGTCCACCTTGTTTACGTCCACCTGCGCCAAGGACGTCCACCCAGTCTCGCGACTACCCATGATCATAGCAATCACAAGTTGGCAGTATCTCCACATTCATAACGATCATTATTCGCAGCCTGTTCTCTGGAGGGAATGCCGTAACGGATTTCCCGTCAAGTATCAGTATTGGGCCCTTAATGTTACCCCGGATTTACCCCAGAAAATTCCCAAAAAGTCTCCCCGGATGTTCCATGACCAAGACTGCTATCGCGGGCATTTATTCAAGATCCCACTCCGCCTCCACTCGATGATTGATTTCGGTATCCGATCATGGACAATATGGCTTCACCCGACGTTGACAAGCAAGCCGTTTCCCAACCCGAGTCCAGTCATCTTGAGATGGCGACAAAACCCGGGCTGGAGGGCCACGCCGGCGAGGCCATTGTCCGCGAAGAGCTCGCTCTCTCCATCAGCGAAAATGCCAAGAGACACTGGCGAGCCTTGCTAATCTGTAAGACTGCTTGCCCTCCGACATCTAACATGGCATGAGATGTAAGCTGACTCCCTCCAAGCATCTGTCGGTTTTACCGCCGGCATCGCGTTCGCCTACGATACCACTGCCAACGGAGCCTCCATATCGATGCCTTCCTTCTTGCTGTACTTTGGAGACATTGGATCCACAGGACCCTATTTGCCCTCGATCTGGACTTCGCTATGGACGGCCATGTCGTCTCTGACCCAGGCTCTCGGCGCCATCCTCGTTGGCTTCATCGCGGATCGATACGGTCGAAAGTGGCCATCTTGTGCTGCAGCAATCTTGACGCTTATTGGGGCGGCAGTCCAATACATTGCCGTGCAACGGGCGACTCTGATGGGAGGGAAGATGATTACCGGCCTGGGCATCGGTGCAGTGATGGCTACAGCGACAACATACATTAGCGAGGTACGATTAAAGCAAGGGGATGTCTAGGGACCAGGACTGATATGCCACTCAGGTTGCGCCCTTGAAGTTGCGAGCACCGCTGCAAACTGGCTTAGTAGTGTTCGTCATCTTCAGCCAAGGCTTGGCGCTGGCCATGGTCCGTCTTTTCGTCCCAGACATTCGAGAGCAAGCATTCAGGACCGTCATTGCGATCCAATGGGGTGTGGGAGGCCTAGCTCTGCTGGCCTGGGCTGCGGCCCCTGAGTGGGTTCCGTTCCCCTGAGCGACTGACATCAGTAGCGCTAACAGCACCAGGTCCCCCTTATGGCTGGTTAGAAAGGGCAAAATCGAGGCTGCTCGGAAGGTCATGCGAAAGATTTACGGCCCTAATCAACCAGATGAGCGACTCGAGTACGAGATACGTGCCATCCAGGCCGAGCAAGAGTTCGAGGCCAACAATAAAGCCACGTACATGGCCTGTTTTCAGGGGACCAACCGGAAGAGGAGTCTTACTGTCGCTTTCCTCTACTCTACTGCCAACATCGGTGGTGCCTCGTTCCTCGCCCAGAATATCTACTTCCTCATAACGGCCGGTCTCGAAGCAGTGCACTGTTTCGATGTCGGGATCGGCGGCTTCGGACTGGCGGTTTTGATCATCCTGACGAGTGGAGTCTACCTGAAGTACGTTAACAGGCGCAACGTCGTGTTGATAGGCTTGGTTCTCAACCTGCTGGTGATGGTGATCATCGGCGCCCTGTACTGGGCAGACAAAAAGGGCGGCCTATGGGCTATTGCTGTTCTGATGAACATCCTCATCTCTCTGCAGTCCAGTCTGCTCCAGGGGGCGGGGTGGCCTATCGCTGCTGAAATCCCCTCGTATTCCCTCCGAGCAAAGACTCTCTCCATTGGCATTTGCGCGCAGACATTCACCACCTGGGTCTTCAACTTCATCACCCCATACATGTACAACGTCGACTCTGGGAACCTCGGCGCAAGGACAGGCTGGATCTATGCCGGGACGTCGGTGTTCCTGTTCATTGGCGGCTGGCTTTGGATACCGAATACTACTGGGATGACGACGGAAGAGATTGATCATGCGTATGAGTCGGGAGTGGCGCCAAGGAACTTTAGGAAACAGGCGTTGGTTGCGCCAGATGGGGGCAAGCGAGATTCCGTTTAGAACCTCACACTGGCGTCGTTAAATTTGCAGATAATACATCGCGCTCAGAAGAGCTATCTACGTGCACCATACGCGTATTAGTTTCAAAGAAGTGACCAGATTAGGCGTCATGCAGGTGGTTTTTGTGATCTTTGTAACGGGAATGGCGTGCAAGGGCTTGCAATGATTCCAAGTTGGATTACTGGAAGTCCGTAAAGTTTGCGCTCTTCGGTCTACCGTTTCTACTGCCTTTCGGTCGTGATTTACTGCTGTGAGGTTTACAGGGATGATCATGGCTTAGCACTGGATTCAAGGAGGCGATTATGGGTCGAAGTCTCAACAGGCTCTGGCTTGTAGTCGCCGATCAACAGGCTCCCCGCTGCTTCTCGAATAACGGGGCCATCGCTGCGTGGACTGGTAGCTTCGAACGACAACAGATGAATCCGGCAGTGTCAAAAAGAATGCAAATGGACCCTGTCCTTGCCGACTCTATTTAGAGCGTTTGAACTGGCCACGGCGCCGGGACTGGAGAGCGATGGGTCCCGTCAGGGATGAAAGGCCGGCCTGTAGATGCGATGAATCGTGCGCCACCGTTTGGTCCGAGTTATTACCGAGTAGTCTGTCATCGAACGAGTGGTGGACGGACATGAAGAAGCCGAAAGACGTGACAGTCTTGAAGTGCGAATCTCTGGCGTAGCAAGTCACTAATAATTCATTATGGCATAATACTGCAGCGGAACACGTTTGTGCTGTCGTAAGGGTTACCAATGATATTACTACTTGCATCGCCTGCATAACTAGCATCACTGAAAAGAAACAAAATCAGATACAATTGAGCGGGGGGAAACCTCCAGCTACAAGATTTGCGAATGCTATCATTTACCACCTTGTCAGCCCGTGTTGAGACCGGCCCCAGTTATCCATCATCCATCTGTGACGGACGACTTTCAATCGATTCCAATACATCCATTCGTGACATGCCCAGTTCTCTCAGACGACCTGAAACCCGGCGCCGAGTTGAACGTGTGCCCATGTCGGTGGTACAAGTAAGCTCCTGATGTTGACAGTGCTGCCACAGATGTACGCGTACCTGATGAGAAACCTCGCCGCCCAGGACAACCTCATGGTTTCATGTGGGTAAAGGAGGAGTCGCCAAGCGACAGAGGGCCTTCTTTGATTGTGATGTGATTGTGGAATTTGTGACTCCCGGGGAAAGCTGCTTGTGCATGTGGACTCGGCGGTGCGCGGCGAGAGAGAGGTTGCTCACCTGTTGCGTTTGAACGGGGGGACAACAAGCGGCGATGGGTGAGTATTTAAGTGTGCTTTCTAGCGAATGCGAGAAATCGCAGTATCAACTAAAAAGCTCCTGGCATGTCAGTGAAGACATTGTTGACGCGTCGACGCCACATTGGCGAGAGCCTTCAGAACGCCGAGGTCATGAGCGAATGGTGTACAGGATAAATGGGATTACGCCGGTTGGAACCAGACCGGATAGGATGGGTAAACGCGGGGGGATAAGCTCACCAAGCCTCCAAGCCCCTTACTTCCCATAGCTTCGGAAATCGTAGCCGACTTGCAATCTGGGGCACTGCGCTCGGGCGAGCTGCCAACCTCTCCAGCTACACCCCCACGCCAGAGACATCGTCCCCAAAGGCCGCTAGAAACGGCGGCACAAAGCTGGCTGCGCCTTCTCCTTGTTCCACACCAAGCGACAATTGGATCATTAATGATACTGGCCGTGATCGAATTAGAAATCTGCCCACTTGTGTCACTTGTTCTCGAAGCCGTCGGATTGAGTCTCTGCCGGTGTAGAAGGCTTCAAGGGTCACGGAGTGCGGGCTTGACTAAGACGCCGCGTAAGTTTGACTCGGCGTAGTTTCGGCTGTGAAGTTCGAAGATCGACGCTCGAGTATTTACAGAACAAGCTTACCGGACATCACTGGCATCATGGTTGGCCTTGTTTCGTCTCATACGCTCGTACAGTCAGTAGTCGCGGCGCACCAAGCATTTCCGAGTAGATGCTGTAGACCCTCATCAATAACAACAGAAGCGGTACTGAAAGCTCACGTGCCTTGTTGTAGTGCATTTACGGCGTTTGTGGGCAGCAATTCCGAGTCCTGACCAAGAAATAGTTGGTGTTCGGAGGCTAGACTTGAGCTGATATTCCAGGTCGGACCTTGCTGTCGTAGATGAACAGCATCCTGTCAAACCACAGGACTGGTAATATATGTGATCATGGACATATTGTCAATGGCGAGTCATGCCGGATGAATACGGAGAATACGCAGAGTTGCTCGGACAATGATGCTGAGAATTTGGGCCCTGAAGCACGCGATACCAGCGGCTGTAACTGTCTACCTGTCACGTCAAGTTACAGTGCACTTGGCATCCAGAACAGCCCATTTCTGCCCAAGAGTACACGAGGCTTCATAACCGAGCTAGGATTGAGACCTTATCGGGAATTGGCATTCATGGCTGTTTCATCAAGCAGGGCGAGCTTTCTTTTGGCTCGGATGAGGCTACGCTGAAGCTCCCTTCGACGTGGACCCATGGAAACACAAGACGAAAATAACTAAAACGAAATTGTGACCGGGTCTAGAGAAAGCCAAAAGGGATGAAGGGAGATTTCAGTATCAGCACGGTCTTGTATAGGCCCCCGTACGGGTCTGATACCATCGTGTCGCCCTCGGAGACCTCGGCGGTACATGGATATCGCCGAGCTAAGCCGAGTTTGCTGCCCACAACATAACAGACTACGCAACAGAGGGAGATCACTTGGATTCGCAAACGTAATTGTCCAACACGTGTTGGTAGTAGATTTGGCCACTGGCGAGGGGCCCTGTCAATTGGATCTTGATTTGGCACTTCTACTGGTCCTTATGCTGGGAGAAGGGAGAACATTGCTCTACGGAGCAGAGGTCGGAGTAAACGCCGGTAGCTGGGCTGCAATTTTCTACCGTCTAGACTGTGCTCCTCGATTTGATCACGTCTTTCTATGTCAAATTTCTAATTTTCAGGGGATTGGATTTCTTTCTTTTTTGTGCTGCGGACAACCGAGCCCTGGTTGTTCTGCCATTCCTTGACATCCAACTACAACATCGCTCCAGTCCGAATCAAACCGTCTCAACATGAAAGCTGCATATCAAGTTTTTCTCGGTACCAAGACGGGTGGAAGCAGCATAAGTGACACCTGGGAAGGCACGTTGCCTTTCCTGGTACATCTCTTGGCTGGTCTACGCTCATGGTCTCGACAATAAACAGCCCCTGAAGATCTTGCAGCCGACATTGACTAGAACTGTGCTGTAACCTCGCCAACGTTTATGATCTCTCACTTTTCTTAGATAGGAAGGAAGATCTTGGATGGCTGGTATCGTTTGCCACATGAAGCTCTAGATGAGATCATGGTTGGAACCTTCCACATCTGTCATCGGCACCTCATAGATGTCAGTTCGTCTTTAGTGTTCAGACGGGATAGGCTCAGATTCTGCAGATATCCACGTTCAATACTTCATGGGAGCGTACAGTGACACGTGAAAAAGTCATGGGATGAGGCTTTCAGATGCAACTTGGGCGATGTGATTCTCTTACGTCCGACTTACACCCTGATCCGCTTCTCGAAGTCCACGCACAGTCCCTCTCACCAAGGTTCCGTGACACGATCCATGCCCCGGCTGTGCCGACTGATAGAAGTTTCTTTTCGGATTGCCTCTGGGTTTCGAGTCAAGCGCTACTACCGCCCTTGCATGTGTAAAAGCTGTTCATCCCACCCGTGTCCTACAGTCGTCGGATGTCTGGGTGGGCTTCACTATTGCGAGGTGAAGTTGCAAGGCCCTTCCCTTAAAATGATGCTATAATAAGACTTAGATATGTTCGAGGAGGAAAGATATGTGAGGATCTCCAAGCCTGGATACTAAGATTCCGAAGACTGTCGATCGGGAGACACAGACCTACTTACGATAAGCAATTTTCTGACGCGTCAAACTCTCGTGGGCACTCCCCCGTCCATTAAACCGTCAACGCCTTCATGTGCCCACGCCAAGAAAGGGTATTTTCAATTATTTCTTGGCAACGGCTATAAGCGATTGGGCATCTGAACCAACGCACCTTGACATCAAGTAGTGGGACGGTGGACAGCGATCTACGCCCGTATCCGCCGCACCGCCGCATGTTTACACACAAAGACTGGGATCTTTCACTTGACACATCATAAGTCTCACCGAGCCCGTTTTCAGTCTAGGAGGATGCATCTGAATGTACAGACGTCTTGTAAGCGCCGATACCCACATTGCTGCCAGACATTCAGGTGATCTGTGAGGGATAATGATCTCCCGGGACCACTTGGGGTCGTTCGTCTCGGAAGAGCTCCATATATAGTATCATCGCTCTGTCACAACAGCTTATATAAGTAGCGATTTAGGTTGCCCCGGCTGGGGTGTGGCTCCCATTGGACCCGCTCGGAAACTTACCCCCCAAAACGGAGCATGCTCTTAGCATCCCCTTTGTGAGGGATTCATGCTTAACTCCACCACGACGGACTGTTCCATGATGTTGAATATGATGAGCCATAGGCCGGAGACTTATATTGCGCGGCTTCTTTACATGTGCAAGGTGTCTCCCTGATCCGTTTACATCTTGAGCAAGCTCTTGGTTCGCTGACAACCGTCCAAACTGACACATCAAGTATATTTCTCTTGCTATCTCAGGGGTGTCTGTTTACCATCGTACCAGGGTCAGCACTGCCACGGATATGATGTGTTCAACGGAGTGAATAGATTACGCGCCTACCTGCTGTGTCTCGCTGCCATCCGTTTCCGCCACAACATGAAGGCTCCCGCAAGGATCGACGCTCCCGCTGTTTTCAAGGGTAATCAGAAACAGTAGTCTTGCAAATGAGCTGATCAGGGGGGATATTTTACCAACACTGCCCAATATCACCACTAGCACAACACCCGTGCTGGGCACGTATGCTGAGCGCCTATCCATTGGCTAGACTGGTCGGAAGTTTTCAACGGGTGTGGGAAACCGAGTGGAAACCGTGAAATCCTGAGATGTTGAGGCGGATCAGAGACCGGTGATGTTCTTGCCTTGTCCTCCACATTCGAATGACGTGCCGGCGCCGACTCTTACGGTTTAAGTACCCCTCACGAAAGTCCACATTATCTCGACTTTCAGATCCCGATGTCAAGCCAAGACTTCATGATGCATCAAGCCCAATCAACGTATGAGGGGATTCAGGCGCCAAGACGGGGCTCGGCGGTGATCGAAACGATCTTGAGATATCGGGAGGATGCGGGCAGGCCGGTAGTTGCAGCCAGCGGGACGTTTCGGGGCCCGCACAACAAGGAAAGATATGAGCTTGTTTAACAAGACTCTCCACTGAGCATGATTGCACACGCTCAGCCTCTGGGTCGTCACAAGCGAAGATACGGTGCCGACCAATGGCGCGTGCAACCTGCAACACGAGAGAATATTCGCTAAGACCTGTTAGACCAGATAGACCTGCCCGTTTCCGATTAAGGCAACCGAGACTCCCCAGCAGACCCACGGAGGCCGCGGGTGGGACCCAGCCATCCCTGGTAAATACGGCGCCGGTCCGTTGAAGCGGCTGAAGACTTGCGTGGCTGCTACGCTACTACGTTGGCCCACCCGATGCCCGTGCTCCGTGAAAGCTTGTAAGACTGGAACGGTTACTTATCTTCATCGGCGTTAAGGAGGTTTAAGACGCCATATTAAGGGGGCTGTTGATATGAATTCGACATGCTGTCTCAAGATATCCTCGATCGCTACGCATCGTTCTTCCTTCACTTAAAAGTTTGTGCTTGTTTTCTGAATTTCTGCTTTTGTCTTTTGTTCATGCTACTCATTAGAAATCCGACTTTAGACTGCCATGGCGCTCCCTCGATACCCGAGCGAGTACATGGAGATGACCGACAATGTGGCTGGTGAAGCTTCGAAGAATTCCAATGGCCAAGGCCGCCTGGCGCGGGACTTGGGTCATAGACCTCGCAAATCCGATGGTGTTGTCTTCCGGGAAGACTCACACAACCCCGGCGATAACAGCAAATACGACTTTTTTCCGCGAGCCCAGAATCGCCACAAGTCCCTACCGCCGCTACCCTTGGTGTACATGTCTTCCAGCAACCGGCCAGAGAAGCTCTACGAGTACGATTCGTCTGGCGCATCAACACCTCGCCCATCGCCCGATCCCCCCTATCACGTCTTTTCGAAAAATGAAAAATGGATGGTTATTGTGATCATCGGGGTCGCTGGCTTATTCTCTGGTCTTTCTTCGAACATCTACTTCCCATCTCTGGACGCGATTGCTCAGGTGTGTTGGAGAGGTCACATGAAATCAACTTCAGCTAATTAGTCTTTACTCCAGGATCTGAAAGTTAGCTTGAACATGGTGTCTCTTACCATCACATCGTACCTGATCATTCAAGGCATATCTCCATTGCTTTGGGGATCCATATCTGATGTTCTCGGCCGACGCCCCATTTACATCGCTTCATTCGCTGTCTACATTGTTGCCAACATTGCTTTGAGTTTCTCTCCCAGCTTTGCAATCTTGTTGGTCTTCAGGGGCCTTCAGGCAGCAGGAAGTGCTTCGACAGTCAGTATTGGTATGATATGCAGAAAGAAAGTACAAGTCATCGATTCCTCGGGCACTAATGCACTACATAGGAAATGGCGTCATTCAGGATATCTCTCCTTCTTCCGAAAGAGGAGGTTTCATAAGCTTTTACCAAGCAAGTAAGAATAACATCTTCCTTGAGCTGGCTCTTAATCATTGCTCATGGGTGTGACACAGTTCGAAATTTTAGCATAGCCGTCGGCCCCGTCCTCGGCGGATTACTCTCCAACTACTTTGGCTTTCGTTCGATTTTCGTGTTTCTCCTCATCATCTCAACCACCACCCTCGCCGTCATTATTACGTTCCTTCCCGAGACCATGCGCAGTATTGCCGGCAATGGTAGCATTCGACTCGATGGAATGTACAGACCCCTCGCCCGATACATTCGCGGAGATCCTGAATATATTGAACAGGGCTCGGTGAAGTCTTCGCCGCGAAAGAAGGTGACTTTCATGACATTCGTCGAGCCTCTAAGGCTCTTGATCCAAAAGGACATTCTTATCAACCTCGTTTTCGGCGGCATCATCTACGCCATTTGGAGTATGGTGACATCCAGTACCACGGGTATCTTCAAGGAAAGCTTTGGCCTGAACGAGCTCCAAATCGGACTCTGCTACCTGCCCAATGGTAAGTCTATTCGTCTTTGTAAAAGTCCCTAATAAGTACTCACCATCCCTCACACAGGCCTCGGAACTATTGTTGGGTCAACAATCGTTGGTAAACTGATGAACAAGGACTTTGCTGCCGCCGAAGCGGCATACAAGTCAGCTCGAAACGAGCCATCCAAGAAGAAGCTATCATCGAAGGATGTGCCGGCAGACTTTCCCATTGAACGAGCACGGTTACGAAGACTTCCTTGGGCTGTGATAATCTTCGTTATTACAACAGCTGGTTATGGCTTCAGCATGGCGTACCCCTCGATCACGAGCCTCGCTGGTTGGATTGCAGTTCCGCTAGTGTTGCAATTTTTTATTGCAGCTACCAGCAACGCTGTCTTCGCTCTGAACCAGACCCTGGTATCAGACCTCTGCCCAGGCAAGGGCGCGAGTGCCACTGCTATTAACAATCTGGTTCGCTGTAGCTTGGGTGCCGTGGGCGTTGCCTTTGTTGAGCAAATGATCGCTCTTGCGGGAGTTGGACCGACGTTTCTAGGCTTAGCGCTGATCACGGTATCCGTGACGCCGTTAGCTGTGATTCACTGGAACTGGGGCCAGCAGTGGAGAGCCGAGAGGATGATGGCTAAGGAGGTGGCAGTTGAGGAGAATGCCAAAAGCAAGAACTGAACTGCTGGCAAATTTGCGTCTCGCGCTAAGATAGAGCGGTGAAGGCTTGATTTACATCGGAAGATTGTAGATATGCGGAAAGGAAAAGACAACAAGGATAGACAAAACCATACAACACACTTTCATAGATAGATATAAACTACTGATAGAATCTAGAGCTCACTGAACATCTTCCAGATGGATTCCACTTCGTCTTCTACCACGCAAAAGTATCTTCTTCGTGATGTCCCTCTCCGACAAGACGTAGCATTCTGGAGTGACTTTGAGTACCAGCAGTTGACCACAATCCGACCTCCGGACGAAACACGGCCATCTGGGAGGATATATATGTACCGGCGTGCTGCACCACCAAGCGCACGAGTTGGGTCCCGTATGGCATGTTTGGTCCAGAACCCAGGTTTTTATGATTCCGGACAGATGGTATAAAAGCCACCTGCGTTCATTGAGCTTCTCGAGCCTGCTGTGACCATCCACATGTCTTCCACCAACCAACGGTCAAGTCTGCATTTTGGTGTGGTAGGATTCCAGAATGCGCCTGTCACAACATTCTGGATATTGGCGAACCAGTCAAACTGGTGCGGAAAATAAAGTTCAGGATCGAATGCGAAGTGAATGAAATCCGTGTTCCAGTTGATGCGAGGGTCGGCTGGGATTCTGTGCTGATTCATCCATGGGACAAGGGCACCACGTGAAGGTACCGAGGACCATGTGCAGCAATTCTTATCATAATATTCTAGATGATTATATTCGTGGAATAAGGACCATGTGGGGAGCCAGAACCGGGGGCGAAGACGTGAGGCCACAGAGCTGGACACTCTATCGATGGTAGTGTCGATGTCGTTGTAGTGTTTGCTCGAGGAACTTGCTGCGTGGAAACACCATGTCAACGTGTTGAAGGTCCAGGTTGACCAACGGGTATCCGACTTGCTAGGCAGCCCTCTTTTGTCGCCGTTGTTCCACTGATACTCTTTGATCATGAAGTGACGAGGTTCGAGGTAGAACTGTTCCCAGACCAAGATTTTGATCTCTATCGGAAACTTCGAGAATTGAGGAAATGATCTTTCTGTCATGACTACGACAGCGCCGTTGAAGGCCAGGACAACTAAAAGAACGGACTTTGTAGGAATCGTGTCCTTGTGAACAGATCGCTTGCTCTTCGGGAGGGGGAAAAATGGATTAGACCCTCCAGGCGACAAACTGCGAAGAAAAAAGTTAGAAGGGAAGAAAGAAATGGATTAGACACAGAGACTGCCTCAGGGAACACTTCGGAAAAACTCAGTTTATTAACTTTTCATTGCACCTCTGAGCTCTAGCTACTAGCAGCCGTCAAGGTGACAATGTCATGAGCCAAGCAGCAGCCACGGCAGCTCTTACACGTAGGAGTGGAACGTCAAGCGCGAAAGAAGCAAAGTACGCACAACGTCAATCGGACCCATCTTCATGAAATAAAAAAAACCTCTCTCTTGAGTTTCTCAATCACTACAACTCCAGACAACGCCATCCTGATCTTTACGAGAGTATATCTCATGCGGCAAGTAGATGCTTCCGCGCAATGATCAGCCCCAGTTATCGCCAGTGCCGTAAACGCGACTTTGATTGAGATAGACCCGCAGCACCGTTGTGGACGGCCCGCAGCGTTAGATCTGCCCCGGGCACGCCACTAATGGCCCTGATAGCCTGTCCGTGAATTGGCCGGCGAACTCACGTGGCCTAAAAGGCAAAATGTCACTCTGAAAAGAGTGCTGAGGCGAAGAAGCGTATGCGAGTATGGTTGGGAAGGAATTGGGAACTACAAAAGCTAGTCTCCTGTATTACGTCGAATAGAAGGTCCAAGTATACCAAAAGTGGCTGGCAGGAATGTTCTGAGTATCGCACCCTTTCGCCGTACCTTTCTAGAGCATACACTACCTTAGGCTTGGCGATTCAATCCTATGGTTTCATTTCACACGTCGCTTGTGATGACCGATCGCGTGTCCAGCCCGATGGTCATTCAGACGTGAAAATCTCATGTGGATACCACGCACCGTGTGCTGATAAACCAGACCTCCCCGGCTGGCTCAATATGTCAACCATCGCCATTCTCTACCCCAACATCACCGACCCATATGTCACTGGCGGATGGACCATGCTGCAAGAGTAGAATCAGTTCACACACTCAGATCTGTAACCGCCGAGAGTGGCGCAGAAAGGCCTCGGAGATAACGGAATACGATGAAGCAGCACAGTTGGACGGGTTCTGAAATTGTGACGAACCTTTACGAGCTGAAGTTTTATTGCTTCATTGGGAGAATTATTCGGCTTAGCTTGAGTTTGTCGATCTTGAAGTAATATCCTGAAAAGATACCCATAAAAGGATCTTGGTTGCCCACGTAACGTCAAATTGGACAGGGACCTCCCCTGTAATAGCGTGTTCGTGGCCTTGAATCCCATAGCTTAAATCTGAACAAGCCTTGAGGCCTCTGCGGTGAACAGGGTCTTGTAAAGCTTGGAGGCGTGATCAGTCAATTCAAACATGCCTTGTCCTCAGCACGGGGCTAAGTCAGATAATTGCCACGGCTCCTTTGCGTCAGAATTAAAGTACTTAAACACCAAGAAGCATGCTCACTTGGCCAAGCGATTGAGTCCAAAAGCGAGAGAAGGAAAAATTGCAGCAGTACAGCTTTCATGTAGGGACAAAATCGTCAAGCTTTGAGGCTTCGAGGCAGCTTCTGGCCAGAAGAGGCGCAGACATCACTCAGAGAACGAGAACAAGCACTCAGAGCAGTGGCGATAGCAAATCCAAGTGATGTTATGATGCAATCACAAGCCGAATGCACCCTTTTCCTTTATGAGGGTGTTGCCAAGTGCCAAGTGGAATATTGGGATTATGAGATGAAGTGGTCATTAAGGCAAGCGGTCTTCCAAGCAGGACATCTACACTAGCAGTGGAAACGTTGTTGGCGGAGGAAGCACCACCCACAACTAAATACTGATTACTTCGCTCTTTCGGAATTTCCCGCTGATGGCGATGGCCCCCGCTCTTCCCAAGTTTAGAGAACTCAAGGCGGGTAAATCGGCGGCACTTGGGCCACGAACGGGTTGTTTTGTGTGTATGCACGTTTCAAAACGAACGTACACACCAACCTTATCTGCACCGACACACGAAGTATGCCAAAACGAAGACAGCCCCAGGTGAGTTCGGAAAAAAAGAGTTCATACAAGTGGCTATATTTGGCACCGTTTCAAATCGGCATGTAGGGATAGTGACGTAGGAACGGCCTGTCAATGTCAGTCTTGCTCCCGTCGTTGTGATGGACGAGGGGCCGTGCCTCTTATAACGAACGGCCCGTCCAGCATCCCACGGCCATGGAAGTGTGTTCCTTCATCCTACGCTGCACAAGACAATGGATGCCAAGGACAACCAGACCTATCCGCGCAACGCCATCAGCCTGGAGTCCCTGCATCCAGCTGAGCCAAGCCCGGAGGTCGACAGCAAGAAGGACAGCCCGGTTACCTCGTCCGCGTCAGCGCCGCCTACCACCGTGGACGTTCCTGTTGACGATGCAGATACGCCAGGAGATGCAGATCCGACAAGTCAGGCTGATGCGAAGCTGAAGAGATGGGCTCGATGGGCTCTTTTCGTGATGGCGTTCTTCATGGGTGACGTTTCAGACGGTCTTGGTCCCTTCCTCGGAGTTTATCTCCAGGAACACGGGTGGGCTCCCGGGTTGCGCGGGTCAGTTCAGACAGTGAGCGGCGTGGCTACCATCCTGGCTACCGGGCCCATTGGTGCGTTGATAGACGCAACAAAGTGAGTTAGCTGATGTACCGCAATACTATGGGGATCGAACTAGACAGTGGCAAGGTTACTGATACTTGAACTCCCTAGATACAAGCGCATGATGGTAGCCGTCTGCGCCCTACTTGTTGGTGTATCCCAAGGACTCAACCTCCTGTCTACACATCCTGCTCTCGTCTTCCTCACGCAGATCGTGTCCGCCGTCGCCGGCACGAGCATGGTTCCTCTGCTTGTCGCTCTGACCCTGGGCATCTGCTCTGATGACAAGAGCAAACATAGCTTCCGCACTCTGAACGGGCGAAATCAGGCGGCTAACCATGCGGGGAATATGGTTAGCGCCGGTCTGGCTGGGCTTCTTGGATCACATTTCGGGTTGACGGCAGTCTTTTACCTCGTCATGGCATTTTGCGCAGCGACGATCGGCGTCGTATTTCTACTGCCAGAGAGAGCGATTGACCACAGAGCCGCAAGGGGAGGAGGACCTTCCCCCGATGATAACGGTAATCGAGAAGACATGCAAGAGAGGAGAAGGGCAGAGGTAGATGGAGAAACAGCCAGGGACATCAGCCCTCCAGTCGAAAGTCCGATGACCAGTCCGAAAGGCAAGAAGGAAAGGTTCACGAACAAGTTCACCCAAAGGTTCAAGAACAGGGACCCATCGAAGCCTTCCAGAAGTGGGTTCAGGGGAGCCAGTATCCTTCTCAAAAACAAGCCTTTGGGCGTCGTCGCCATCACGATATTCTTGTTCCACCTCGGCAACGCTGCAATTCTCTTCCTATACGGCCAGGCTCTCGTAGCCACAGGCCAGGGCGACCCCGCCGGAACCACTGGCCTTACCGTCATCATTGCACAGGGCACCATGATCATCATGTCATTCCTGACGGCATGGCTCGCTGGCCGCTCCGGCTACTGGTTCGCCATTCTGATATCCTATGCTGTTTTACCTATACGTGCTGCCGTCGCCGGCCGGGTGATCAAGAGCTGGGGAGTTTGGCCTGTACAGATTCTCGATGGTGTTGGTGCAGGTATCCAGGGCGTCGCAATACCCGGACTGTTGGCCGTCATGATGGCTGGGACGGGGCGGGTTAACTTGGCTTTTGGTGTCGTCGGCGGTATCACCCGCCAGACGGGTGCATCTATCTCGCATTCGTTGGGAGGCTGGATAGCGCAGGAAAGGGGATACAGCTTTGCGCTGTACATCCTGGGTATCTTTCCGCTTTTCTCACTGGCAATATGGGTAGGGTTTGTCAAGATGTTACGGCCGCTCATAGATAAGAAACCTGAAGAGGAGTGAGGACTAGACGAAGGGCAATTGGATTACAGAATCACGAAGGGATACTAGCCATTGTGCTTGAACTTCAACTATTGAGCCTGACTGATGTTGTCCATAACACTATCACCAGCACTTCCTTACTGCACCTCTTTAATACAAATGTATTTATCTTAGTATTCAATTACTAGTAGCGTAGTTATTGATAATTGTAATACCCTACGTGAAGGCTTCAGGCCCCAGTCTCCTTAGCAAGAGCCTCAGCACGCAGAGCCTCTCGCCTGCTCAAACTTTGCGGGTCAAGGTATGGCCTCTCTCCAAGACTAACACTCCTTGAGCCAGACCTCTCGCCATAATCTCCTTCGAGGTAGTCGGGCGTAGCAGCGTGGTACACTGAGCGATTATCCCAGATTGCTACGTCGTTGACATTCTGCCAGCGGTGCCTAACTTGGAGGTCGTGGTTCTCCAACACGAGCTGCACGAACCAGTCCAAGAAGTGTTTTGATTCATCCTCTGACAGACCATTGATCTTCTCAACGTGATGACCAAAGGCGAAGACGCTCTTCCATCCGGTCACGGGGTTTGTGCGGATCACTGGGTGTATGGCCTCGAGGATCTCGCCGACGTTCTCGGGGGCACCGCGCTCGGAAGAGAAGAGCTTGAATCCGTTGTTGTCAGCGGCTTGTTTGAATCCCGGCTGTGCGTATGTTGCCGTCAAGGTTTCGAGGAACTTCTGGAGGGGCCTAGAGATGCGGTCGTACACCTCATAGCCTGATGCCCAGAGGGTGTCTATGGATCTGTTAGTAACGACCGCAATCGGTGAACGAAAGTGGGATACAACATACCTCCTCCAGTCTTTGGAAGTTGGGTAAGCCTCAACAGCGCATAGTCGCTGGGAACAGGTTCAAAGGTGATATCGGAGTGCCATTGCGTCCTCTGGGTCTGTTTCTTGTTGTAGTTCAAGTACTTGTACAGGGACAGCTTCTTCGCGTTCGCGGACGAAATGACGCTGATCTCGTCGTCCTTGTCGTTTCCTCGAGCAGCATTGTTAACGGGATGGATGTGGAGCTTGGATGTAGCCGGCTTGCCCGAAAGCTCGCCGAGTCGCTGGACAAGTTCCTTCTGGAGGTCGTTGTCGATGTTGTCCTGCTTTCTGAAGAACACAACACCACGTTGTGAAACTGTAACGATTAGTATGAGGGCTTGTGGATGGAAGGAGTACCTACTGGTGATGGCGAGATCGCGAATGAGGTCATCGGAGTTGGGCGCTCTGAGGAGCTCCTTGATGTCGAGACTGGGGAATTCGCGACCGATGATTGGGGTGCTGTCGAAGTGCTCGTATTTATCCAATGCGCCACTCGGCTTCAAGGGCTCTTTGTGACCGGTGAGAACCTTTGGAAGCTCCTCCTCTTGGAGTTGAGGATTCTGAACAGCCAAAGACTCCTTGATGGGAATAGTCTTCGAGGGGGCCTCTTCGGGCTTCTGAGCTGTCGCTGTAGCTGCCGGCGCCATTGTCAATAATGTGAGAGCTGAAATTTGCTGTATCAATATTAAGGTTGCGACCGCCTCGCGCAGACGAACGGGCGCTTTCCATTCCTTATAAACAACAGCAGTCGCTCCCACACCATAACCGCAGCGGCATTGCTCAGACTTGGGACGAGTTTACGCGATATCGCGCGATATGCAACTTAGATTTTGTCATGGCTGGACATCAGACCCTGGCACCAATAGCTGCCTTCAGCATCTATCATCGAACGTATTGAATGGGCGGAAACGAGCCCAGCGGAAGTCGGCGGCACATGTCCACGCCGAGTCGGGGCCGTCAGGCCGGCCCGCGACCCTCCACCTCGCCGCATCGTTGGTCTTGGCCAAAGTATCACGATGCGGGGAACCAATGGCAAGGCAATTGTTTCGAAAGACATATTGGGATACCGAGCAATCAGATGCGAGTTGTTTGCAAGAACCAGGGATCATGGGTGCCGCCGGTGGCGCAATTTTGGGACTGATCGCGAGCCGCGAGCGACCCCGCGACGGCTGACCAATACTTTCAGAGGAATTTGCCCGGGCTGCGGAGATATTTCGTCTCAATTCTGAGTAACGCGACTCGTTGAAGATTGGAATGTGCATTGCTTGCCATGTGCGCGGGGTCGAGAGCAACTTGGGAGTCTTGGGCGTCGTGGCTCAAGAACATGGTGGCTGGAGTGTGGCTAGCCCCTGGGCTCCGTATCTACTCACCTTGCTGAGATTTCATGACAATTGCTGCTGATAAAGAAGAACAATTGATTGTGGCCCGCGATGACGATGATGGGCCCGGCCTTGGGGATGTGGCCGCTGTCATTCAGATCTGCCCATGCGAACCAGCGCCGATCTGAAATCGCCCGCCCGCCGACGTCATCGATCTGTCACTGATATGAGCGCAGCTTTCGCAAGTTATGCTGCACCAGCGTCATGTCTTCAGCGATTCATTCTGAAGATATCTGCTTTGGTCATCGTCTCAAGACTCTCATATCTTAAGCCAAGAACTCAATCATTGCGAACCTAGTAATACATTAGCACTGACAGCCCATTACGATGTCATCCTCAGCACCATCTCAACCGCCCAAGGCCGAGGCCTACACCACATCCTCGAACCCAACATCCCGCAACCCTGCCGAGAATGCAGCTGCACAGCAAGGCGAATCGAGCGCACGCGACGCAGTCCTCGGTCGCACGCCATTCCCGCAGTCGCAGTCGCGGTCCGCCGACGATGCAGTGCCCAGCTCCCTAGGACAGGGTGTGCATTCCTCCGGCCCCGTCGATGCTACGGAGAAGCGCAACACGGCATACAGCAGCACAGGCGCCAGCCGAGGCCCAGAGAACCCGAATGTCGAGGCAGAGCAGATGGAGACTCTGGCGGAAGGCAAGGTTGCGGATGCTGTCGATCGGAAGAGCGGGGCGCAGAAGGTCCCCGGGCAGGACGTGCAGTTTGACGATTACGCAAGTGGTCTCGAGAAGTGAGTTTACTTGATGACTACAGGATCCCAGGATGTCGCTAATGATGAGCAGGAAGAAGCAAGAGCAGCAAGAGGCAAGGCAAGCTGTAAAGGATGCCAGAAAAGAGGGGGTCGATGTTGACGGCGGGATGGGGCAGAGAGATTGGAATGAAAGTGGCAGAGATGTCTGAGTACAATACTTCGCCCAGAACGCCAGGAATGAGAGCCGAGATATGATAGATGCCACTGTCACGTCGCCAGCGAGAATGAGGGGCAATTGAGTTTGAGACCACAGCGAAGTCAATCGGACCGTCCCGGTCGCATGTGCTAGACGACAAAAGCATTGAATGATCATCGAAGACCAACAGCAGAGGAAGTTGAGAACCAAGTCAGCAAAAATTGCAAAAGAATTGGTTCTCCCCTTCCAGAATCGAACTAGAGACCTTTCGATGACAATGAAACCATTACAGTCGAACGTGATAAACCAACTACACCAAGGGGAGTGACGGGGCTGAGCCCCGCTCGGTGTGATTTGTTGAGCGGGACGCAGAATTCACACACTAAGTAAGTACCACTAAGCCTAGGGCATCTTGCAAATACCGCAACTCCTCACTGCTTTCCACTCCCATTCTCTGCGCTTGCACCAAGTGGGGGAGCACAAAGTGAGGGGTTCCATTCCAATGCGTCGCGAGTCCACCCGCGGAATCCACAGAGCCACTTCCCCAGCCGAATTCAGATTCGCCTGCAGCCCGCAAAGCCAGCACCTTGATCTCCAATTGGGCGCGGATTTCCCAACCGGTTCCGATGCTCCATCGAAGCCATCACCTTAGAAATGGGCGTGTAGCTCAGTGGTAGAGCGTCCGCTTTGCATATCCTTAGCGATGTCTGCGGAAGGTCCAGGTTTCGATCACCTGCCCGTCCATCTCAATTCACAAACTATTGTAATCTGTTTCTTTTGCCTTTTTGCTACCTCAAGCGTGATATTTCGCAACATAATATTGCGTGGGTGACGATTACTCAGCCAAAGTCAATTGGAGTCCGGTCCACTTTTCGTTTTGCTATCCGAGGACCGAGATCCATGGATGTCAGCTACTTGACGGGGCTTGATAAGACAAATGCTATCCATGGATCGATGATAGGTGTATCTTAATTGCATCCTTTGTCTTACCGCAGGTGATGCCCTACGTCTTGAACCCAGAAGCATATACAGCTGTGACAAACACAACCCAGTCGAAGTTTGGCGTTGAAATCGTCTAGAATACACAAATTACCTTAGGTTTGGGAGATATTTTCTGCCCATGGACCCTTCGATCACCTTGGATGCATTTCTCTCTAACGGTTCCGAATTGTAGGACGTCGCGCGTGTTAAAGCACCCCAATGACCTCTCAAGGCCAGCAAATGCAAGTCGATCAGTGAACGCCGACAAATGCTGATGGGCGAAGTTGGCATTTAGATATTTGAAAGATTCAAGCAAAATGCAGTTTGATGGAAGTTTTCTCTTTTGTGTGTATCTTCTCTGTACTTGATTGGCAACTTCATGTTTAGCCCATAGACTGTAGCCCTCCATCTGGAGATTGTTTGTCTTATTCACGGTTTACCTCCTTTCTTGGGGCCGTTTACATTGCCATAGTGGGCAAGATTATACACCGCCACATTTCCGTCATGGCCGTGATCTCCCGGATAATAGGTACCCGTCCCCATGCCGGGAACTTTCACGCTGGCACGATGTTAGCTACAAATCAACTTGATCAATAAAGAGCGACGGAGGATCAAGCATGCCCGTTCAAACGCGACGGGTAGAATAAAATGAGAGAGAAGAGAGACGACGTACTGGATGGGCTTCCCATTGTGCTTCTGCTCGGCGACAGGGACTGCAGCTGTGAAGGGAACAGCGAGTAGGAAGAAGAGGAGATTTTGAGAGTACATTGTCCTTCTTTAGAAACGGGTTTTTGTTGGAAATCTTGTTTCTCAGAGAATTGCCAGAGCTGTGCAGCCTGATCGCTCGTTTTCGTTTCTGGGCGAGGAGTTTGCTCCTCTTATATGCTTATCTGTCAAGCTCAATGAGAGCGGTCACGGCACACCTTGTTCATCGTTGCTAGATCTCATTGCGTCGGAAGTTACCATCGGGAGTTAACACACGGAGAGGTTTTCCTTTTCGGAGTGCTTTTGGAAGGAGGATGCCGGTACCTCGATTGAGTTAAATCGCAAGATGCTTTCAGTAGTGTCTACGCTTCAGCATGCGCAAGATAGTCATTGTGGGCCAGTCTTATCTCTCCGAACGAATGACTTACGGCTAAGTGCGATTGAGACTGTACAATATATCCGGCGGGCACAATTGGACCTACAGATGATCATGACTTTTGTGACAAGCTTGGGCAACGCCAAAAGTGGTTTGGACGAGGGTTGAACTTGAGTCAGGGAACCGAACGCCTGCTAGGCTTCCTCAACTATGGTAACCTTTTGTAGTCGTAAGCAGTTCGCAACTGAAACGCGAATTGGCCAACGACTAACCAAATACATGCATGAGTGCTCCGGGTTATTTTGAATAAGCGCTGAAATCCGCATAGTCCGTACTTTGATTTCCGAAATACTCGCAACAGTATACACACGTGTTCGGGTGATTCCTCTCGTCGCGCCCGTTGACGAGTCATATTACTGACACATGATCAAACCAACTAGGCGATACTATGGGTTGGCATTACTACACTCGAAGAATGAGGTTTTCATTCTTCCTTTTCTCCATTAAATATCTCAATACACAACAACGCTCTGGAAATAATGTCATCTCTCATCTTCGTCACATCCAGGGCTGCGTGACCCCAAGCTGCAGCTTTACCTAGCCACCGCCGAGTAGAAGAATTGACTTCCAACACTTGTCAATACAGATTCAAATGCCGAACTTTGTGCCCGGCAAATTTCAGTCGTCGAATCATCGCGGATCTTGGGGTCGAGCTTGGGCACTGCACAGAAGAAGGGCAAGGGTTCAAGTCATTCCATATCTAAAGTAGTTCTGATCAGTTTGTAATTTCGGTGAAAGCCACTGATTTGTATTTGGGTATTTCAAGACGAATATTGGGGATATGATTTTGGAAGGTACATATCACATCAGACCACACTGGGCTCGTGTTGGTACTCGACCCCGAATTTCCCAGGAGCCGGGGCTCTCACGGATGAAGGTGTCGCCTACCTTTCTCCACTTCCGAACCCTCGCGCCCTTCTTTTTCAACCCTTTGATAATTCTATTTATAATCGCTTCGTTGGTAGCAATGCTGCTATTTCTACTCTCCCAGATTTTGGCACGCAGCCTTAAAGCTACTAGAAGAACCGAAAATCGACACATCTGTAAAAAGAGAGGCCTTTCCGGGAAAGGCTCAAAGTATTCGATATATGCGTTTGGATCTGCATCGTGTGCTAGCAAAGTCTCGAGGATTGGGAGCAATTCATCTCTTGCAGATAACCCGTACCGTGCCGTATACCAGGCATGTTGCCAGGGACTGCGTCCGTTGAACTGCTTATTCGGATTTGCTCCATGTCGCAATAAATCCGCAACGATCTGCACATCTAGGCCCCTTAACCAGACAGGAGCTGCTGTTGGCGCGCAAGCATAATTGAGAAGCGGTCGACCCTGTTTGTGAAGAGATTGACAGCCTCCATTCCGAAGTCTGGCTCGGACGTAGAGCCGCAAACCGTAACGGACAGCGAATGCGAAGAAGCTGTCGTGGCACGCAGCGCCTTCAGTTGGGAAATCGTCGAAAGTATCCCACCAGCTCAGTCCGCATCTTGTCGTCAGTGCCGTCTCCAAAGCATTCATCATGTCTAGCTGGTCTGTCCCACACTCAATCTCCAGAGTGCGAGCGATTTCCAGGGCAGTTGCCACAATGTCCCAGGGCACGCCTTTCGAGGATGATGATTTGCGGCTTCCGTATGAGCCACATTTAGCCTGCATGACCAGACTTTGGAAGATTGCGGCTTCAACGTTGAACTTCTCGAGGTCAAGAATTTCATCCCACACATCTTCTTTCGACAAGTACTCTTTCACGGACCGGTGTATAAATTGCACCTCCGGATCATACCAGTCGTTCCAGTTGTCCATGGCAGCGGACCTGAACTTATTCTTGGATTCTGGTGCCGGCTCCATAGGTGGATCGGGGTGAGCCTGCTCAGTCGAGGCCCTAAGCTCGATCAAACCAGAGCAGCATATCCTGATCTGTGCCTCGATTGAACGAATTTCTTCAAATGCCCTTTTTATAGTAAATTCACCAATCTGGGCTTGGAGTACTGCTTTTGGCTCGACAAGAGCAAACTTCAAGGTCAATGCCGTCAATGGCCATTTATCCGTGCCATCCATACAAGGCTGATCCTTGGATTGGAGCTCAGAAATGCCCCGTATGAGCTGAAATGTTTTGGACATGGTCGATTTGTATCTTTGGGGAACTCTATCGAGCATGACGCGGAATAGATCCTCGAGGTCGGTTGGTAGCTCGCGCAGCTTTTCGGTCAACGCACCTATCTCGTCATGATTTTGGAAACCTTCGAGCAGAGATCTCACAACCACTTTGACCCAGAGAAAGACCCCTTGAGCGGCCTCCACGATCTCTTCAACAAGATTGGCTGACTCTTCTGGGGCCCGTGATATAAGTTGAAGCATCCTAGGATGATTCCTTAGGTTTTCGTTAACATACTTAACAACATCACTATGAGTTAAGTAGTGAAGCCTCAATTTTGAGCAGTTGATGAAAGCCTCCTCGAATGCGTTTTCTGGTCGGCTGGACAGAACAGCTTTGAAAGAGGGTGATTGAGCAGCGGCTGTGAACAATGCCGCGAGCTCCGTGAAACTTGTCGTACCAGCGTCAAACTCATCGAGTCCATCGATGAGGAGACCAATTCTTATAGGAGCCCCGGAAGAGTCCGTAAGCCCTGGCGCTGTCAAGCAAGAGAACGCCTGTTTGAGTTCTGGTATGGTTGGGGAATGGTGCTTGTCAATGCGTCGCAGTAAACCGGTGTCAAATATCTTCTCGACAAGC